TGAAGGTAGAGAAGGAATGCCAATATGGGTGCCCAGTCTCCTGTTCAAACACCTTCTCCCCATCTTGAGTCCTCCTCCCCCCTTCTCCTAAAGACCTCATCTTCTCCCTCTTTACCCTAAGCCTAGTCAAGAAAGAAATGGAAGTAGATGCAGGTTTTTAAAATAAGGAGCTATGTGCCACACAGGGAGCAGAGAAGATGCTGCTTGCAAACGCTTCATCTGCTGTGTTCTGTCTCAGCCAAACTAACTCTACCTCAGCCTAATGAGCACCTGCTCTATCACCTTCCTTCCCACTCTGTTTTCTCTAGGCCTTTGGGCTGCCTTTCACTGTTGCCCACGTGGATGGTAAAACACACATGTTCTTTGGCTCTGACCGCATGGAGTTGCTAGCCTACCTGCTGGGTAAGTTCAAGTTTCCATTCTCTTGAGCTTTTGTCCCCAGCCCAACACCCATCAGATGACCAGAATAGCAGCAGGAGTTCCTGGGATACTTCCAACATGGAAGCCTCATACAGTTGGTGCTGATCAGGGTTAAATGGGTGTGGAAAGTCTTCTTCCCCATTGGGGAGAAAGAAGCCTTCTAGACCTTGAAGCCACTCAGGTCCTGGAAGGTCCTAGAGCTCTTTGGCAACATCTCCTGCTGCTAACATGTCTGAGAACCATGTATGGACATCTGTCATTTTCTTTATCTTAGGAGAGAAGTGGATGGGCCCTGTGCCCCCAACCCAAGGTGCCAGACTTTAAACTTGCCTCAGGAAGTAAACTTCATTTCTCTCTTTGACAAAGTTATCTTCCCTGGCTGGCCCTATAGGCAGAAGCAGGATCCTGCCTTATCTGTGTGTGCCTTTACTTCTGAGCCTCACAAGTGCCTTTTGGAAATCCTTAGGTTCTGCATTCATAAAATAAACCTGATGCCACTAGACAAAAAGTTTCTGGGTCTGTGTCTGCCTGGCTGGTAGTGTAATACCAAGATCCTGTGATCACAAGCTACCCACAACACAAGTTGGGTGAGAAGAGCTCTTCCTGGGTTCTCAGGCTTCCTGACTCCCCACAGCACTGTGGGGCAGCTGCAGGAGGAAGTATTGCCTTCCTCTTATTCAAAAAACTTGAGTTGGAGACAGAAGACTACACTCAGTAGAGCTAGCAACAAATCAGCTTGGCATTAGCTGTCTCTGAGCAGCCAGGGGCACTGAGAGAGGAGTATGGCCAGGAACCCTGTAAATAGTGGACACTGAAGGAAAGTGGTAAACAGTCCAACTGTGGTCAGATTTGTAATGTGAGTCCAGCAATACAGGCCAGCAGAACCAGAACAAGGCAGTCATCGGCCTTGCTGCTGTAACTTGGAGATGTTGTTTAATTGTTGTATTTTCTTTTTTTCCTATTGTTAGATGGAGCATCTCTGTGTAGCCCTGGCTGTTCTAGAACTTCCTTTGTAAGCCAGGCTGACCTCGACCTCAGAGAAATCCATCTGCCTCTGCCTACTGAGTGCTGAGGTTAAAGGTGTGTGCCAGCATGGCCTGGATGAGGCCATTTATCATACATAATTCCTGACATCCTGAGAACACACCAGGCCTCTGTAATCAGCTTGCTATATAATACCTGTTCCTATCTGAGTATCTTCAGTTTTCCCCTTCCTCCCTCTCGCTGATCAACTTCTGTTTTGGTTTGGTTTTTTGTTTTATGAGACAGTTTCTCTGTATCTTTGGGGCCTCTCCTAGAACTCGATCTGTAGACCAGGTTGGCCTGGAATTCAAAGAGAACCATCTGTCTGCCTCCTGAGTGCTGGGATTAAAGACATGAGCCACCACTACCTAGCACCTCTGTCCAATTATCTACCTTAATCCCCACTTACATTTATTCCCTAATGTTCAATAATCAGAAACTTTTCTTGATGTCATACTAACTTATGTGGTAATGATGTTCTGACCCAGGGCCCATGCTTGGACACCTGATGGGAACCAAGGACCACAGCTTTAAATCAGTCCTTCATGTCAGCTTCTCTCTGCTGTCTCCCTCTGGTTTTCTCAGTTTATATTCCATTTTCCCCCTGGAGACTCCATTCCTTTCATCTTCTCATCTCTTCTCTCCCACAATGCCTGCATCTTCTAGGGTCTAAAATCATCTTTGCCTGGATTCACTAAGGTGTAAAGCCAGAAGTACATCTCAAATGGACTATTATTCCCTTCTGCAAAGGAGCCATATAGTAAATACAGTTCACCTAAAATTAAAAAATTATGAAGCCCCCCACAAAGTTTACAAACATAAGGCCAAGTTAAAATACTGAGTAGCTTTGTATACTTTACCCAGGAAATAGTGAGTGTAGAGTTTTAGGGATAAAGATGCGTGACTCTGCACTGTATTCTCTTTTAAACACTGTGGCTGGCGAGCAAGGTGGCCCAGTGGGTAAAGGTGCTAACTGCCAAGCCTAATGATCTGAGCTGCATACTTAGAACTTTCGTTGTCAAAAGAGAAAATTGACTCTTGAAAGTTGTGTCTGAACCACCCCACTACACACACAATATATATACCACTCCACACGAGTGGCCACACATACAAACACAAATGTAGTTTAGTTTCTTTATTTGAAAAAGCAGACTTTATGCACAGCATATGTTTACACATTAAAACAACAATAGAGTAATTTAATATCATCTTAAGCAGGAGAAAAAAATCAAGAAATTTCAGTTTACAGAATGTCTCACTATACAATTACTTACAAGGCCAAGGTTTCCTGATATGGCTGGCAGGAAATTAAACCAGGAATCACAGCAAGACTCAGGCTGGGACAATTTTCACTGAGAGCCATCAGACTTCTTATCCCCTTATTATCAGAAACAGAATATGGTAGCAATTGCCAGGGTCAATGAATGCAGTTTTAGTTGCCAGGATACAATGATGATATCAAGCTATACAAGGTAAACAAGATTAATGTTACCAGCAGTTGTCCTGTCCAGCTTTCAAGCTTCCTTGACTTCTGAGGGAACAAGCAGAGAAGCACGAGGTGACCTGAACACTTCACTACCTGAGGGAGTGCCTTGCTTTCTCAGGAACTGAAAGGCACAGAGTGCCCTAGGAGCCATGAACTCTAACCTGAAAAATCTATGATGCTTGCCTCTCAAGGCAGTTTGGCTGGGCCTACACTTCACCTCAAAATATCTATTAATCTCTTGTCCTTGGTGAATTAATATGGCAAATGTGTTCACTGCCCAGTCCTGTCTTGTTCCTATTGCACTAATGATCAATAGAATTAAAAACAAGCAAAGCTCAACTTTCACAATTACTGTCCCAAAGGAGCAACATACAAGGGAATCCTATGTAATGTAAGAATAGGTCTGGGTACTTTAATTGAGATTTGATAGTGCATGAAAAAAAAAAAAAACTATGATAGCACTGAAACTAGAAAAAAAAGACAGCTTTCCATTTTCTTTCATGATTCATGTCCTTGTTTGTCTTCCGGCCTTCCTCATCACCTAAGAGTTGCCTGTCTTTCTCAGTTTTAGACTGTATTAGTTATTTTGCTGTTTGATAAATAGAATGACCAAAAGCAGCTTCTAGAAGAAAAGGAAACTATTTTTGCTGATGGTTGCAGAGGGACAATCCACAATGGAATGAAGAGGAAGCAGCAGGAAGCCAGAGCAGGAAACTGAGAGACCATCCAAGAGCAATCGGGCAGCCAGCAGAGAGGCAAAGAAGAAATGGAGTAAGGTTGTAAGCCCTCAAAGCTCACCTGTGGTGATCATTTCAGCCTCCAAGGCTGCATCTCCTCAAATAGAGCCACCAACTGGGGAGCAAGTGTTCAAATACATGAGCCCATCGGGGACAGTTCCCATTCAGACTGCAATATCCACCAATAACTGTTTACATACATGTCTACATTATATGCCAGGACCTATAGATGAGGAAGAACAAGTGGTTCTTTCTGTACTCGGATCATCTTGCTTAAGGTATTTTCCAGGTCCTTCCATTTTCCTGAACATTTCATGATTTCATGTTTTCTTCATGGCCAAATAATCCTGCATATTGTATGTGTACACCATTTCCGTTGTTCTTGTGTATATTGATGGGCATTTAGGAAGGGTCCATTTTCTGTCTATTGTGCATATAGCATCAGTAAACACAGACATGCAGTGTCTGTCAGGAAGAAGTACAGTCCTTTGGGTGAATGCCCAGGAGTGGTATATCTGGATTCTATGGCAGTTCTGTTTTAAAATTTTTTTTGATGAACAGCCAAACTGGTTTTCATAATGGTGTATTAATCTGCACTCCCTCAGCCATGGGTATGGGTTCCTGTTTCCCCATATCGTCTCCAACATCTGTCAGATTTCTTGAAGACAGTAGTGGTGCATGATTTTGGAGTAGTCTTCATTTACATATCTCTGCTGAGGAGAGGTACTGAATACTTAAAATAGTTATTGGCCATTTCATGCTTCTTCTTTTGAGAATGACCATTCAATTTTAGCACATTTGTTTTTTATAAAGATTTTATTTATTCACTATGTATATATCATACTGCTTCCATGTATATCTGCAGATCAGAAGAGTGCACCAGATGTCATAATGGATGGTGGTGAGCCACCATGTGGTTGCTGGGAATTGAACTCAGGACCTCTGGAAGAGCAGTCAGTGCTCTTAACCTCTGAGCCATCTCTCCAGCCCCAATTAGCACATTTTATGATGGGTAGTTTTGTTTTATTGCTGTTAATTTTTTTGGAAGTTGTTGTAAAATTCTGGTTATTAGTTATCATTCTTAACTAAAGATTTACTTCCATTCTGTGGACTGTCTGTTTGCTCTGCTGGTGATTTCTTTTGCTATACAGAAATTCTTAAATTTCATGTAGCCCCATATGTTGATTCTAGAGCCAAGCTGTCAGAATTCCGTTCAGGAAGTTGCTGCCTACGCCAATATCTTCAGTATTCCCTGTGTTTTTCCCTGGAAGCTGCAGTGCTCTGGATTTTAAATTAAGGTCTTTTATTTTTGTACAAGGCAAAGGGTTCACATCCAATTTCATCCTTCTGCTGGTGGATATTCGGTTTTGTCCAACAAGCTGGAGCGGTCAGGGCAGTGGGAGCCTTAGCAGCTGGTCTCAGTTCACATGGAGTGAGGAAGAAGAGAGACATGACTGAAAGACCCTCCGATTTCGGAACCTCCAACCTGGACGGTCGCCCAAGATCTCAGTATCCAGTCCAGTTGATGTAACACGCAAGAGGCTTTAATGAATGGTGAATGTTTGTACAAACGGGCCTCCTCACCACGCAGGCTAGAGAGAAGCCCAGATCTCCAGGCACAGGCATTTTTAAAGGCAAAAACCACAAGCTGAGGGAGGGGCTGAGACCTTCTGACCATTGAGTATGTGATCAGAGTCTTGGGTTCCTAGGAGGCCCTTTGTCTTGAGGGGAGGGCTGGGAATCAGATGGCCTCCTGACCCACTGGTTGTAAAACCTTCAGACCTCAGGATGCGCTAATCAATCTTGCCTAAGTAAATGCCAGTTGCTGACCCTTTGTTTTACAAGGATCCTGCTTTTCAGCTTCTGATGCAGAGGTCAGTGGTGTAATCTGTCAGGGGTTTCTCCATGAACTTCCCGGGAGATCTGTGGTCATCTGAAACATTTGGCGTTTAACTATTTATGGCTCTCTGAGAGTGGAGTTGCTGAACTATATACCAGCATCATTTCGCTTCCTCTGTTAATTTTTAGTCTTTTATTTCCTCATTTTCTTTTTGCGAGGTTTTAATCTTAAAACCTCAGGGGGCCTCAATGTTTGGTATAACTTGATACTGTTGAGTAAGGACAGGGGTCTGGGTGATGGATAGCTTCTCACGTATAAACTGTAAGAACCAGTTGAGGAGACGGGGGCCAAATGTGAAGAGCAGGAGGAGTATAAATAGGGGCCCTATTAGGGTGGAAACCAGAGTGATCAACCATGGGGTT